TCAGTGGAATTGTGAAAATATGATTTGGGTTCACTGTTTCCTTATTTGATTTTGCTTTTGGAATTTGTTCATCGTTGAAAATGTGATATTAAAGTTCACAACTGTAATTATTTTAAAGCTTAGTGCATACTTTAGATATATTAGTATTTATATATTTAGTGTCCTAAACTTGCTGTATATGTATCAATAATTGTGATATCTTCTTAATGAATGCCTTCCTTTTTATTATATAATTACATTCTTTGCTACCTTTTTACAGTGCTTGACTTACACTTTGTTTGAAAAAAATATAGCTAATTTTTCTCTCTTTCAATTCCATTTGTGTGGAATGACTTTCTGACTTTTCACTTTGAATCTAAATATGTCCTAGAGATGAAATCAATCTTTTGTAGGTCACAACTAGTTGAATCTTTTTTGTTTCTCTATTTGGTTTTTCTATGTTTTTTGATTGGAGAATTTAATCCATTAATCTTCATTGAAATTGTTGATGGCTAAGTATGTATTACTGTTACTTTATTTTTTTAGAATTGTTTGATTGAATCTTCCTTCCTTTTTTCTCTTGCTGTCTTTGTGCTTCAAAGATGTGTTCTTGTGGTATGCTTTACTTTTTGTTTCTATATGTCTGCTGAAGAATTTTTCTTGGTAGTTATGAGGATTACAAAGGTATTTTGTTATTATTATTATTAAAAATTTATTGTAGGGCTTGGCACGGTAGCCTGTTGGTTAAAGTCCTCGCCTTCCATGCACCAGGATCCCATATGAGTGTCGGTTTGTATCCTTGTTGCCCCATTTCCCTTCCAGTTCCCTGCTTGTGACCTGGGAAAGCAGTAGAGGATGCACCAAAACCTTTGGCCCCTGAACTCAAGTGGGAGACCCGGTAGAAGCTCCTGGCTCCTGGCTTCGGATTAGTTTAACACCTATCATTGCTTGGAGAGTGAACCAGCAGATGGAAGATTTTTTTCTGGATGGAAGATCTTTCTCTCTGTCTCTCCTTTGTTCTCTAAATCTGATTTTCCAATAAAAATAAATAAATCTTTTAAAACAATATTATAATTGAAGGGTGGAGTTACCAAGAGAGAGGAAGAGGCATGGTGCAGGGAAGTGAGAGAGAAAAACCTTCCTTTCTCTTGTTTATTCTTCAGATTGCTACAGCATCCAGGTTTGACCAAGCCAAACCCAGGAAGCCAGAGACCAGGAGCTTCTTCCATGTCTCCCATGTGGGTGGCAGGGTCCCAGGGCATTTGGGACAACTTCCTCTGCTTCTCCCATGCCACTAACAGTGTGTTAAATTGGAAGTGGAGCAGCTAAGACACAATTAGATTGCCTTTAGAGATGCCAGCATTGCAGATTTCAGCTACCCCTGCCACACCATGAAGTCGGCCTCCTGTTTTATTGTCATAATAGCCTATTTTAAACCAATAATGGCCAAACTTTGAACGCATTAAAAATTAACTTTTTTCCATCTCTACCACATTTTTATATTATGCATGCTTTTGTGAATTATTCTGGCTATCAATATTTAAAATGCTTTCTTCCAAATTATGTATTAATAGTAATACATATACATCTTTGTGAGATATAGTGCAATATTTCAACACCTATACACAATGTAAACCAATTAAACCATAGAGCTAACCTTTTCACTGCCTTATCTTTTCTTTGTGTTAGGAGCTCACCAGTTACTCTCCTTCAGTTCTTCATGTTGTGTGTCATATTTTATTGTGAACTGTAGTTGCCCCTCTGCTATGAAACACTGTAATATGTTACTGCTGAGTATATGTTATTATTTTAAATAGTTTTACCTTTTAATGTTCATGTTAAAGCTTTCATTGATGTATATATGCTACTATCACAGTATTAGTGTATTTTTAATTTGACAGTGAGTTTCTTTTTACCAGTAAATTTCATGCTCTTACATGTCTTCAGCCTGAACAACTCTGCTTAGCATTTCTTGTAAGGTTAGTCTAGTACTGATGAGCTTCCTCCAATTTTGTTTGGGACAATCTGTATCTCACCTTTCTTTTTTAATTATGTAGACTTAAAATGATTATTTATTTGAAAGACAAAGAGAGAAGAGACAGAGGACTTCCACCTACTGATTTACTCTGCTAATGCCTGCCAGCTGCTAGGATTGGGCCATTCAGAAGCCAGGAGTCCAGAATTCACTGTGTCTTCCATGTGGGTGGGAAGGACCCAACCACTTGGGTGCCCTTCATGATGCACATTAGCCAGAAGCTGGAATCAGAAGCAGAACTGGCATACCTAGCAGCATCTTAAATACCATGCCAAATGTGCAGCACTTTCCTTTATTTCTTAAGGATAGCTTTGCTGGATGTAGTTGGTTTTTTTTTTTTTTTTTTTTGATTGACATTTTGTTCCCTTTTTTCTTCTCTGAATATGTATCATCTTGTTAAGGTTTTTGCTGAAAAGTCTGCTGCCAGTCTTCTTAGAACTCCCTTGTGTGGGCTTTGCTTCTTTCCTCTTACATCTGTCTGGGTCCTGTTTGACCATTAGGCATTTTTATGTAATCTTCTTTGAACTGAATCAGATTGAACCATGGACCTTCCTGTATCTGAATATTTGGATCTTTTCAGAATTTGGAAAATTTTGTTATAATTTTTTAGATATTCTTTTCTTCTTTGAACTCCCACAACTCCTTATTTTCTCTTCTGATCCTGTCCTGTAAATTCTGAAGACTTTCTTCTTGTTTTCCATTCTTTTTTCTCTCCTCATAGTATATTTTGAAACAATCTGTCTTCACACTCATATTTTTTTCCTTATTGATCATCTGTTGTTCAGTGCTCTCTTCAGAATTTTTCATTTTATTTGTTGTGTTTCTGAGGTTCAGATTCTCTGAAGTGTTTTTATAATTTCAGTTTGTCCATTTAGTTTCTCATGTAAGTCATTAACTTTTTTCTGTGATTTTTTTGAAGTTTAGTGAGCTTCCTTAAAATAATTGTGTTGAATTCTGTGGCAGTTTATTTGTTTACTTAAAATTAATTTGGAGCCAGCTGCTGGGAAGGCATTGTGGTTATTGGCAGTGTTATTTCCCCTTGATTTTCCTTTTTTTGTTGTTGTTGCCCTACATTGATGTTTACATTTAAAGAAATAGAAACCACCTTGGTAGGTACACTATGATTTTTTTTCTTTTTTTTTTTTTGTGGGAACCCTCCTTGGTGTCCACCTGTCTAGAGATTCCAGCAATCTGTCATGGTCTGTGAAAGTGCATGCTTGTAGAATCCTTAGGCAACCTCGTCTAGTGTATGTGTCAGTAAATACTTAGACACTGAACCTGGGTCTACTATGGTGGTGAAACTGTTGATTGACTTTCCAGGGTTGGTCTTGGAGCTCCTAGCTGTGGGGACTGATTTGGGTTAGGCCTCAATCTTTTGTCAAAAGAGGACTTTTAAAATACTGAGATGAGCCTGGAACCTGATTCAAGGGCTGGCCCACTGTCAGTGGGGTGGTGCTTATTTTGAGTACTGTGGGGTGGTCCTCATGGGTGGACCGTTGACTGTTTATATTTATCTGTTTATGGAGGATAACATCTTGGCCCTGAGCTATACCATGGCAAACATTGCCCAGGGTTCTATTGGAGCATTATATTGAACAGATTGGCCTGGAAGTTATGACTTTGACTGACATGGTACTGGAAAAGCCTGAAATTTGTGTCCAAGTGTGCCTGCCTGGTATGTTAAACCAAGTATCTCCACTTGGCACTTTGATAAGCTGAAGTTCTTACCTGGTCCTATGATGGTCACCTCTATCTTTTACATTCTTGTCAAGGTGAAAGAGTATGTAAAATTTCTGCTTGGCAAGGGTTGTTGCTTGCTTTATATACTCAACTCTAGTAGATTGAAGAAAAGTCATGGTTTTTGCACATTGGCCATTTTGTTGTTAGGTTGGGGAGTGTTATTATGTGTTATTTTCCAAATTAAGTGGATCTATTTATCACCTTTAACTTTCTTCTTTTTAAAAACATAAATAATAGAAGAACAGTTTTATCACTATTTTTAATAATTACAAATAATATTCTGTTTGCCATCTTTTTCTAACCCTTTTGATTTGTTATTAAAGTAAAACCTAAGTATTTTTACTTGCACAGTCACATTTGTTAGATTGTTGTTAGTACATAATGCTTTTTATGATCAAATAGTGCTCAAACTTGGTAAGCAGATTGAAATAACTAAGGAACATTCGTTTGTCTGTCTTTTCCCTTATGTTTGAATTCTTCAGATTGTTCCAGTCAAACTTGATTTGAAAGTTATACGTTCTTGCGTTACCAGAAGTCAAATTAACTTTCTGTATTTCTGAAGCCAAACAATCAAAGATGGTATTTTTAATGTTTTGGAGCCTATTTTTAGAAATATGTTGCAAATTAGAGAAATTGTAGACTTTTTAAGAATGGTTTATTTGAAAGTCAGAGTTACAGAGAGAATAGGGAGAGAAAGAGTGAGAGATTGTTGGAGACAAGGAGACAGAGATTGGGGAAAGGGAGAGATAGAGAGAGATCTCTCCAAGTGACCATAGTGGTTGCACTGGACCAGGTGAAAGCCAGCACCCAGGAGCTTCATTTGTATTTCCCCAGTGGGTTGAGGAGCCCAAGGATGTGAGCCATCTTCCCCTGCTTTCCCACAAGGAGCTGGGTTGGAATCAGAGAAGCTAGTGTTTAAACTGGTGCCTGTATGGATGCTAGCATTGCAGGTAGCATTCTTAACCCATTATGCTAAAACACTGGCCCTGAAATTGTAGAATTTTAAATCAAAGAAATATCCTCAGAAACATGTTTTATTGATTTTGATATGAATATCAGAAAGAATACATACAACACTTTTAAGATGTAATGTGCTGTGCAAAGTTTTAATATGTAAGTTGGAAAATCGTATTTTTATTTTTTATTATTTTTATTCTCTGATTTTTTTTTGTGTATAAAATTATGCCTATATATCTGAGACCACCACCAGGAAACCAATTTTTTTCTTATTTGTTGTTTTCCACAGAAAACTGCATCAGCAGTTTGAAATGTACAAGGAGCAGGTAAAGAAGTTGGGAGAAGAATCACAGCAACAGCAAGAACAGAAGGGTGATGCTCCGACCTGCGGAATCTGCCACAAAACAAAGTTTGCCGATGGATGTGGCCATAACTGTTCTTATTGCCAAACAAAGTTCTGTGCCCGTTGTGGAGGCCGAGTATCATTACGATCAAACAAGGTACAGCAGTGAAAAACTACATTTCATATTTCTTTTTCAGTTACAAAATAAAATAGGTAACTAAAATTACTCTTGCGGTTAACGCACGAATGAAAACTTTCTCTTATCACCTTTATCTTAGATAAAAAGTTATACTACAAATTTCCATTGGATTGAAATTATTTTCCCTTGCTTTATGTCAGTTTGCGTATCACTTTAATTAGAATTATAGGATCTTGCACTTTCAAAGATGATGGCAGAAGTTTAGAGACCTTGGGAAAGAGTCTATTTTTAAAGCCATAGAACTGATTAATGGTACAGTTTTGACATAATTTTGTTCATTGTGATATATTCTTTTATAAATTTGATAGAGTTGCTTTTCCTTTGGTAAATTTCCTTGTATTTTCAAAGTAGCTCTCCAGGTTTGTGATTGTTTTTCATAATTTTATAGGTTTTGAAGATACTGTACTCATTTTTAAAAAAATTATTATTTTATTTTGGTAATCTTTACATAGTTGATTAGGGCACAAAGGGTCAAGAGCTAGAGGAAAGTGGGTAAGATCATTGTTTCCACATTATTTTTAATTTTTTCTGTATCTGGGGTGAGAGGGGAGATAAAGGCAGAAACCCCGCTCATCCTCCCATCCACCCAGGGTCCCCGATGTGGGGCATGCGCCTAAGGCACTGCTCAAGTGGTTTTGAGAGTTCAGCAGTTCTGAATTGCTGCCAATTTCGCCATTCCATGCATGATGAAATCTCTCCAGAAGCCACCGGCCGACATAGTCCATCTTAGATTCTCCGTTTGTCCAATTTTTATTTGCCAACCCATGGCTGGCGTAGTTGATTCACTTATTCTGTCATCCATCCTCTGTTGTGGTACCAAGTGTCCTCTGCAGGTTCCGATGGACTGCTGTATTCTCCATGTGTACCTGGATATGCTGTCCACTGCTCTGTCTAAACCACTGAGGAGGCTCAGCTTTGACATATGCACTCCATGGTCAGACCATGGAACTTGCACTTCTCTTCATGGTTGGGGTTCTGAGATCAGCAGTTCAATTGGAGGGATCCCCAAAGAAACTTCATCTGAGGTGATCCCAGACCTGATTTTTGTGTGTAGAGGGTCTAGCATAGTCTGTCACCCCAGTCAGCTTATGCACATGTTGGTAGTTGCAATTGCTGGGTCATTTCTGTTTCCAGCCCTGTCTTCTACATGAACCAATGGGTGTTGGAGTCTAGCCTGATCCTGCCCACCACACTTGGCCCTCATGCAAACCAGTGGAAGCTGCAGCCTACTTGGAGCGACGTGGAATTACCCCTACCAGGGGTGCCCCCATCCTAGTTTCTGTGCTTGGCAGAATCTGCAGCAGACTGGTCCCGTCTGCCCCACATCCCTTTCAGCTCTCATACATGTCAGTAGGCATTGAAACCTAGTTCAAACTAACCAGTTCCACTATCCAGCCATGCACATGCTGGTGGGTGCTGTTCTGTCCAGCCACCCCATCCTCAGTTCTGGTTTTCATGCTCTCTAGTGAGAACAGTAACCCAAGAGGGAGGTGCCCACTATTTCCCTCCTAGGCCACTCCCATTCCCAGAACATGCACTCTCCAGGTGGTTCTGCAGTTTAACTTGACAGAATTAGCTACCCCCCTGCTAGCATCTGCTATCTGATGCTGCGGTGAAGCCCCACCAACCCTCATGCACTCTGATTTATGCTTGTACCAGTAAGAACAGTCAGCCCAGCCTGGCTTTTTCCTGATTTAGCTCACATGAGGCCCACAGGTGTTGTAGCCCTGCCTGGTCCGGCCTGGTTTACCCCCATCCCAACTCATGCTCTCCAGTGGGAGTGGCTGTCCAGTAAGGGAGCCCTCCACATTCCTCCTATCAGCTTTGTCCCCTCCTCCTCTGGTTTTCACGTGTGCTGGTTGGGTGCTGCGGCCCAGTCTGGCATGGCCCACCTTGCCTCAGCATTTGCCAGTGGGTGCTGTAGCTTGGCCTGGTCTACCTAGCTCATGCTCGTGAGGGTTACAGCATAGCCCAGCCTAACCGGCATCCAGTCCCAGCCGTAATGTATACTAGTGTGTGTTGCAACCAAACTTGGCCCAACCCACACTCTATTCTGGTGCTCAGATTCACTAGCAAGTGATGTGAACTGGTTCAGCCTGGTTGCCCCCTACCTATGCCAAATGTATGCCAGTGGGTACCATTCTTTGACCTGGTCTGGGCTGCTCCCTATCATGGTTCTTGTGCTCACCTGCAGGGACTGTGTCCCAACAGAGGAGTTTCCAAGCTCCTCCATCAGAACCTCTCCCAATGTCAGATCTCGCGCACATTGGTGGGTCTATGGACCAATTCTACTTAGTCCACCTCCTGTCCTGGCAGGAACAATGGCCTTTCCTGACTGGCCTTCAACCCATTCTGGTTCTTACTGTTGAATGTTTCAGCCCAGCCAAGGCTCATCCATACCCAGACATGGCTCACACATGGCTCAGTAGGGGCAGAGACCTAGCCTAGTTTGTCCTACACCTACCCTGGTCCTCCAGAACACTAGATGGTGCTGGAGTCTAGTCCAGTTCACTATGCTCAACCCCAATCCACACTTGTGCCGAGGGACACTGCAGCCATATCTGGACCAGAACACAACCCCCACTCTGGCTTCTGCATTCACCAGTGGGAATCCCAATTCAGCCAGGGTGTACCCTTAGCTCCCTGACTAGGCCTGTTTCCAGCCATAGATCATGTACGTGCCAGTGGTTGCTCTGATCCAGCTTGGCATAGTGTCCTACCTGTCTTGGCCTTTGCCTTAGATGCTGTAGCCTGGCCTGACCTGGCCTGCCCCTATTCCCAATTCTCGCTGGTGGGTGATGGAACCTGGCCCTGCTCAGTCTATTCCCATCCCTGGCTCATGCAAACCAGTAGGTGTAAGAGCCTAGCTTGGCATGACCTGTGCTCCAGCCTGATTTCTGTTCTTGCTGGTGAGCTAAGGTTTGCCTGGCCCTGCCCCGTCCACCCCTTCTCAACACCAATCCATACATTAGCCAACAGTTGGAGCTACTTTGCCCAGCTTGCCCAACCCCCAGGCCTGGACCATGTGATCGTCAGTGAGAGTTATGACCCACTAGGGGAGTTTCCCAAGTTTCCCCACTTGACCCACTCCCAGACCCAGATCTCATAGATGCCAGTGGGTATTAGGCCAGTGCCCGGCAAAGTCTGCCTTTCTATCTTTGCGTTGTATGAGCTGGTGAACGTTGCAGCCTGGCCCACCCCACACCCTGTTTTAGGATGCACATTCGGGTGCTGCAGCCTGGAACTGCCCAGATTGTTGTTGGTCTCTTTACCCATGAGTGATTAGGTTCCTAGCTCAGCCCATCACCACCCCAACTCTTGAGCTAAACAATGGGACTTATATTTCCACAGGGTTGGGGATCTAAGCATCCCCCACAGGATCTAACTCCAGACCTGGTTCTCTTATGTGCTAGTTAGTGTCATGGCCCTGCCTAATGTGACCCATCCCCTGATCCAACATTCTATCAGGTACTAGCATCTGACCTTGCTAGGCAGACCCCCAGCCTTAGCTAGCATCTGACCTTGCTAGACAGGCCCCCAGCCTTAGCTTTTGCATGGATTGGCATGTGGTGGTCAGTATTGTTAGGTGGTAACAAGTCCTGCACAGGACTCACATGTATGCTGGTGTATCAGTCTGACCCATACAGATCGTCTGGTCTCTCCCCTCTAAACCACCAGGTCTCAGTACCCTTGCTTACCTTCAAGGAAAAGTTACTCTGTCATTGGGAGTCCCTCAGGATTGATTCCTCACCAACATGCACAGTGGTCTCATTCATGGACATACCTAGGCAGCAATTCCACACCCGCAAGACCCCAGAGCTCGTGGCCAGCAGGTGGACTCTGGAGCCAGTTGGTTCACTGGTCCCCCAGGATTTGCTCACTGCATGGTAGCAGTGGCTGAAGCCAGGGCCCCAAGCACTAAGTCTGACCTGGCTTGGGTGCTCCCAGCAGCCTAGTGCTGGAAACTCTGTACCCAGGACCCAAGGTCGAATTCTGAAGCTACTGTCCTCTTTAACATTACTTAAATAAGTCATTCAACGTGAAATTTAAAGAAGAAATGTTAAGGTTTTTTTCCCATAATTTCACTAGAATGTTATAGTTTATTCCTCACTTTTGATAATAGGTTAATGCTACTTAAAGACTGTTTTGCTGAAAGCAACAAATTATCCAAAGAATGTTTGCCTTAGTAAATATTTTAGAATTTGCTTTTGTGTCTTCATTAATGTCTTTATCCTATTTATTCACTTAGGTAGCTTTTAACTAGGAAGTTTATATGTTTAAATACATTGTTTAGATTTAATTTTAGAATTAGTTCATCTGTGTGATTTCATTTCTTCATATTTTGTTTTCCTTTCCTTTCCTTATTATTTTGTTTAGAATTGGTATTAGTTCATTTGTTGAAGTTTAATAGACTTCATCGACTTCATCACTGAAGCCATTTGGAAATATTTTGCTTTCATTTGTTTGAAAGATTTTAAATATAATTTTAATTTTCTTAATAAACATATTTTATTCAAGTTATCAGTTTTTTCTTGAATCAATTTTCATAGCTGTGTCTTTCAGGGAACTTGTATAATTGTGAATAGTTATTTAACGGCATAAAAGATTCATAGCATTTGATTATGAGTTTTTTACTTTCTTAGAAACAGCAATGATGCCACTTTCAATTTTTATATGGGTAATTTGTGTCTTATGTCTTTATGTGCTATTAAGGTTGGTTAGTTGTTACTTTTATCGATCTTTTCCTAGCATCAGCTTTTGGTTTCATGAAATTTTTTTCCATTGTGATTTTTGTTGTGATAGTTATTATTCTTATCCTACTTACTTTGGGGTACATTGTCTCTAATTTCTTGAAGTAGATGCTGAAGTTTTTTTTCTTTGAGATTTTTCTTTTTTTCTGCTGTAGTAGTCACATGCTGTGGAACAAAGAGGTAAGCCCCACCATTCATTTCCTCTTG